AAATCAACACTAAAAATAATTTATTAGTTCAAACCAGCTGATTTGTTTATGTAACAGAGGCCAGCTAGTAGCGCTGTGCAGGTAAACCTCACTCATCTGACCTCTAAAGGTGCCCTAGCTAGAGGCTATGGTCTTTAGCCTCCTTGTTAAAGCAACCAACTGCCATGCTGAAGGTCGCCGATTCGATCCCAGCTCGGAGCGGGTTGGGTGGTGTAGGACCGGCAGGGTTACATTTGTGCCTTGACCCGGATGGGAGTAAGGTTTAGGGGGGTGAGTGTAACGGAGTCCAGCTAGTAAGTGCTGTGCAGGTAAACCTCACTCCTCTGACCTCTAAAGGTGCTCTAGCGAGAGACACTAGAGGCCATGGTCTTTAGCCTCCTTGTAAGAACAACCGACTCCCATGCGGAAGGTCACCGGTTCGATCCTAGCTCGGAGCAGGTTGGGTGGAGTAGGACCGGCTGGGTTACATTTAGAAATAACGCAAGTGACATTCTGATTGAATCACTGACTCAATAATATGTTTGAATGATTTATTTAAACAATTAGTTCAAAATTACTTTGATTTGGACCAAAACCATTTCAGTGCACAAATCCAACTTAAATTCAAAAGAATGATTTGTTTTTGATTCAGATTAGGCCTGTCACAGTTTATTTTTTGGTGTACGATATACTGCACCAAAATATATATGGCGATAAACAATAATATTGTTGTATTATTGTGATATTATTGTCATTTCAAGACTCGTTTTATGCCACTCATTATATAATGACAGAATGACAATATAACAGCAACATAATAGAAGTACACTCCTCCAAAGAACACATCATATTTTATTTATTCTTAGGAATGCTTCATTTAATTATAGCCATTTTAACAATTTAATAACTAGGCATTGGAATCAGAATGTGAACCGGCATTTCCTAAATAAATAAAAACAATTAATGTAAACAAAAAAGCACAAGGTAAAAAGTGCAGAGGCTGCGATATCTGCTACCAGATTTATTTTCAGTTAAAGAAAATATTTAACGAAAATAATTTCAGTTTAGTGTTTTTTGACCATACTGACATTGACACCTCCAATAGAGAAAGAGGTTGTGCTATCAGCTTGAATGTTGCTAGAATTGGTTTTTATCAAGTGTGCTGCAAGCCTGCGTTTGAGTGAGGGTCTCGGCCGTTAGATCGCCCCCTGGGGGCTGGCTGCAGTACAAGTCATAAAGCCCGCCTCCTCCGTGTTAATGAAGGAGACTTGAGCCCAAATAAAAAAATTAATTACACTTGCAATAAAATGTCCCGAAAGATGGTTCTGGTCGATTAAGGCACTGATTATTGTGCTGAAATAGGTGCAGATCTTCATTTTTGTAAACAGTTTGTTTTTAGCAGTAATTTAATGCTGGGCGTGTCATCGTGATTGACAGCTGTGATTGACAGTTTCTCAAAGCGCGGCGTCTGAGCTTCGGCAGAAGACTGAAGTGTTATTACTCGATTTCTGTGTTATTTTACCATGACAAAATGAGTTCAGCAGTAAACTACAGTTTCTGACATACATGATCTGGTGGAACACTGTTTATTCGCTAAGGTCAGAGCTTTTTTCGGGCTTTATTAGTTTGCTAATACACGCCTAGCCACCCAGATAGCAAAATACACTGGGGCCAGTTCTTGCCTGCCGGAGACTTACCCCTCAGACAGACTACCTCTGCTGGACCTACTCCGGATGCCTGGACTCACTGCCCGATTCCAGCCTGAGTCAATTGAGCCAGATGCGGGGGCCGAGCGAGCAGGCGCTGCCGCATGCGAGCCGGAATCAGCCCGCGACGCCGCGAGTAGGTTATGTGCGCTGCTGCCCGGAGCTGGCGCGATTGAATCTTCATTATATAAAACCCTCACATTTGTTAACGTTATTACAACCATTTTTGTTGATATAACAACAAACGCATGCTACTATGTGAACGAAAAGTGTATCACTGAGTTTAACCTTTGAATAAAGATGCAAACAGCATACATAGCAATTATTTAAATAAAGGACAAAATAAATAACAATAAACCTGTATCGATTGCACAAGTATTAAATAATAATACAATTGAATACATTTTGTAGTGCACAAGAATTAAGAAATACGAAAATGACAATAAAACTGCACAATAAAATAAACCCATTTAAGTACGGAGAAAATACAGGAGATCGTTAGCAGTAATTCTCTTTGTGTCTAAATAATAATCTACACTTTGATCTCCTGTAAGGTTATTTGAACTTGCTTTACAGGACGTCTCTGCATTTTAAGTTTTGGCATGTTATTAAGTAATCTACTGAATGTGCTGTTATAAATCATTATAAGGTTCTTGAAATCGAATCTTATATAACCTAATAGAGCTGTAAATGTTAGATATTATTTATTTACATCATTTACTGTTGGCGTTTTATTTGAACACTCCAGCTAACATTAAAATGAATGTAAATTCCTCGTTGCCAGATATAATGAAGGCATCGAATAAACCAAATGAAAACGGAGGCAAAAAAATTAAATAAATAAACAATTCAAGCGAAAATGAATAAACAATATACTAGTGATGTTGCAGCAGATAGACGTTGTATTAATAGTGCAAAGTTTTTTTGCACAAATTGACAAATTGCAGGGTTGGGATGTGTAAATAACCTGTTGATATTTAGTAATCTTGCTGTATTTATCTTCTAAACGCACGATTGTTCCTGCATGGTAAATCGTTATGGTGTGTAGGCTATATTTTGGGTTCTGTTGATGGCTAATTAAAAATAAAAACCTTTCTAAAAATGTATGTGTTGTTTATATGTTATTGTTCATATTTTACAAGTGTTATTTCTACCCCTATGAAGATAACAAATACCAACAACAAATATAACAATAAGAGAATATATTATTTGTGCTCATATTCAGGCTAGAGTGTATAAAAGATCGTTTATTTCTGCAGTCCACCATGTATTGCTTTTATTAAAGTTTAACAGCTTACATCACACCGTTTTTAACCCGTATATTATTGTGTTTTTTTTATGTAAGTGCTTCTATTTACATCAGTGAGCGTTTGTTATAGTGCAGACACCGGGAGTCGAGTGAGAAGTTCGGGGGGCGTGGTTGATTTTACATAAAGCGTTTGGTTTGAAGCTCGACTCCGCTTATTATCGCGGCTCCTCCTCTGGCTCCATCAGACAGTCCTTCTGCGCATGTCAAGGCTCCAATTTCAGCAGTCTTTTGCGACAGTTTGTGCCCGTCAAGCAGGCGTTTTGCCCTCAAGGCGTTCAATGGGAAAAGGGGCTGTCGCGTCGTCCATATTTTTTACAGTCATTGGTTTTTATGTATGGGTGATATATATTGCATCACCAAAAATGTGTGCGGTCATGTCCATGTGTTGTGAGATAAGTCAATATATTTATTATTGTGACAAGCATAATTCAGACTATACCTAAAGGTGTCGTGCAGCCAAAATTATTTTTTATTTTCTCTCTCTTGACTTGTTCCAAACCAGGTTGAATTGTTGAACACAAAAGAAGATACTTTGAAGAATGTTGGAAGCTGTCTGTAAACATTGGCATCCATAGTAGGATGTCAAAACAAATACAAATACAAATACAATGGAAGTCAATTGTTACCAGTTTCAAATATTTTTTAATGTATCATCTTGTGTGTTCAAAACAAAAGAAAGAAAAAGGAAAAAAGTCAAGAGTGAGTAAATTAAGGCATAATTAGCATTTTTTAGGTGAACAATACATTTTAAGTAAGTTAACATATTAAGATTTAGTAATAAATAAACAGCAATAAACAAAATCCACAAACAATTAATATTTAAATCATACTATATTAAAGTGTTGGTTCAGTCCAAAATGAAAAATTCTGTCATTAATTACTTACACTAATGTCATTCTACTTTCAAGTTGTTTTATGTGAACAAAGATATTTTATAGCTTCAAAACATTTAGTTTGAACCACTGACACATTGAAAAGCTTTTGAAAATGTTCTTGGGTCCTTTCTGGGCTTTGAACAATTCGGTGCACTTGCTGTCTGATGGGTCAAAGAACTCCCGATTTGATAAAAAAAATTGTTCTAGAGATGAACGAAGGTCTTATTGGTTTGGAATAACAACTTTTTGGGTGAATAATCCATTAAAAATTTGAGTTTGTGGTCAAACAGCTGCATAATCCGAGTAATAGTTACACAAAGAATCAAGTTTACTCTTTAGCTAGTTGTTATACTAAGCAATAAATGATTCATGAGTGAATTACTCAGTCGATTGAGAAACAAATCGTTCATAATGGGTTTTGAATAGATCTGAATCAAAAGAATTATTTATTCACAAATCAAAGTACTAATCTTTAGTGCTGTATCTGATAACTAGTCTCATAACATGGCCATTAAGATTAAAACAAAATTAGTTTACGGTCAAAAGCTAGGCATACTATCGTCAGACAACTAAGAAATGAAACTGTTTACCTAGCTATAGTTACATTAAAGCAGTAAATCGCTTGCACTGATTCATTAGTGAACCGTTCAGTCGACTCATAAAAAACGATCGAACAGAATTATGAGCATGTATTCGATGGCTTCACCGAAAAGATTCGACTCAAATGAATGATTCATTTACGAATCAATCAGTCATTTCTTATCTTGATTAGTTTAACTGATAGCTTATCTTAAACCATGTCCCTTTCAGATTTAGTATTCAATAAACAGTAACGAGGCCGCAACAATCCGAACCGTTAATATACAAATCCATGCCAACATGCAGTTATACAAATTAGAGTTTGTTCGAACAAACAGCTGCGTAAGCGGATTGAAATAATAACAAACTAGGAAAATTAACTGTTCAGTTAGTTGCTGTTATACTAAACAGTGAATCAAAAATATGTTTTTTAGGCAACTGGTTAATTTGGCTGACGCCTTAACAACATAACATAACAACAACATGACAGAGCAGCCCGTACCCATCCGTGAGAGGGCAAAAAGCAGCAGAAAACTTGAAATCTGTACTTGCCTGCCAACTGTTTGATTGGCGAGCTGTCTCATCCGATTAAACTGTTTCTTCATTTTAGTGTCGTCGGCCTCAAAACCCAGTAAAGACGTGTGTTCGTCGATTCCTCATGAGCCGAAAGATCCTTGTGCACGATAGTGAAGTCGTGTGGCTAATTACATTAAAACAGCCCGGTTTACGGTTAGCTCAGGCAGCTAGAAAACTAGCCGAATCGGGAGAGAAAAAAACAGCAGTGTGGAAAAAAGTTAGCTCCGGTGAGTAGCGGTGCTCGTTTCATGTCATTCCGTGTTGCAACTGGTCTCATAAGCGGGAGTGAGTGTTTTTCCACGTATGCCAGCAGCCCGTGACAACTACGGGAAAGAGTGCATGGCAGCGGGCTGATCACTCCATCCGAGTCGGGCACTTTGTGTGCGTGTGCGTGTGTGTGTGTGTGTGAGTGTGTTTCAGTGCTCTCATCGGCGCAGCTCCGGGCTGATCATGATGGCATGAACGTGAAAACTGTGGGCTGTCCCAGAACATAGTGCGATGACTATATAAACAGCACTGACAGTCGTCGGTTGTGCTCAAAGATACTGTCTGTGTAGGCAGCTGTAAAGGCTTTGAGACGCAGTCAAATGAAGCTACGTAGAGTTCAGTGTCCACTCGTATTACCAGCTGGGATGACCATGCAGACACTTATTGCATGGAGTGTAGAAGTTTAACATCATAAACATTCTTTTAGAGACGGATTTTTCTGTTTTACACAAAACCACAAATATATATATATATATATATATATATATATATATATATATATATATATATATATATATATATATATATATATATATATATATATATATAAATAAAATAAAATAAAATAAATAAATAAATAAATAAATAAATAAATGAATATACAAACAAAGAAAACAAACATTTTAATTATTATTAATTGGGTTAAATGTTATTTGAAAAATATTTAGTTATTATTATTATTATTCATTGATTCATTCATTTTCTTGTCGGCTTAACGTTAGTCCCTTTATTTATCCGGGGTCACCACAGCAGAATGAACTGCCAACTTATCCAGCACGTTTTTACGCAGCGGATGCCCTTACAGCCGCAACCCATCACTGGGAAACATCCTCACACACTCATACACTGTGGACAATTTAGCCTACCCAGTTCACCTATACCGCATATCTTTGGACTCTGGGGGAAACTGGAGCACCCCGAGGAAACCCACGCGATGCAGGGAGAACATGCAAACTCCACACAGAAACACCAACTGAAACGCGAAACCAGCGACCCAGCGAAAGAAACTCAAACCAGCGACCTTCTTGGTGTGAGGCGACAGCACTACCTACTGCGCCACTGCTTCGCCCATTATTATTATTATTATTATAAGGCCTTTTTATTATCCTACCTACACTATAAACATTCATTATATCAATCATTATGGTATTGTGTTTGAGAATTTTTTTAAAAATCATTTATTCATTCATTTTCTTTTTAGCTTAGTCTTTTAGTTTATTATTAATCAGCGATCGCCACAGCGGAATGAACCGCCAACTAATCCAGTATATGTTGTTATGCACCGGGATGCCCTTCCAGCCGCAACCCAGCACTGGGAAACACCCATATATTCTTGCATTCACACACACACAGTATGATTTTACGAGAGCATTCATTCCCCTACTGTATATACTGCATGTGTTTGGACTGGGGAAAACTTGAGCACCTGAAGGAAACCCACGCCAACATAGGGAAACCATGCAAACTCCACACAGAAATGCCCACTGACCCAGGTGAGGCTCGAACCAGCGACTTTTTTGCTGTGAGGCGACATGTGACATTATTATTCGTAATTATTCACATTTTCTTTTTAAATAAATAATTTTTTTAAATCATTGATTTTAGCTCATTTGTAATGACTGTCACTTTTTTCCAATATATATATTGTCAAAGTTGGCTTATTTATTTTGTGTCTAAAGTAAATAGTTTTTTTTATTTATTGTATTATTTTATAACATTAATTTAATGCTATATTTATGTATTTGCTTTTTTATTTTCAATGTTTATTTATCAAACGTTTAGATTTTTAATTTAGGTTCTTTTTTAATATTAAATTTTTGACAATGATAAGGTTCTATCTGACATTTTTGTCAAAATTAATTTATTGAAATATTCTTATTAAATGACAACTTATTTACATTATGAGATGTTATTTACATTGTTATTTACACAGTTAATTACATTTTAAGACTTTTTATTTTAAAAACAAATGTTACACACATACTGTTTGCTATACGGAATGCAAAAACTTTGAAGCTAAATGTCTCAAAATCATTCAGAAGGCAGATAACCCCTTTTAATTACAAGGTGACAAAATCTTAATCTATTGTTTTTAGTCAAAACATTTCCTGCTGAGAGTATGACAACAAGGGTTTTTTGTATGTTTGTTTTTTTGTTTTTGTCATTTTTATATATATATATATAGCGTACACCATGGGTGTCCAAACTCAGTTCTGGATGGCCGATGTCTTGCAAAGTTTAGTTCCAATCCCAATCAGAGACATGGGCTAGCTAATCAAACTCTTGCTACGCTTTCTAGAAACATCTTTCCAGGTGTGTTGAGGCTAGTAAGAGCTAAAATCTGCAGAATACCGGCCCTACAGGACCAAGTTAGGACAGCCTTGGCGTACACTATCATATTTAGTTTTACTTTTAAAAAACTTTTATTATCATATATATATATATATATATATATATATATATATATATATATATATATATATATATATATATATATATATATAGTAAAATAAATTTTTAAATAAATTTGTGTCTACTCAAAATCTGTTATTAACCTTCACATATAAGGGCTTGAATACTGCTCAAACTGATCCCATCCAAATCCTCAACTTTCAACATCTATTTAATCGATATCAACAGGTTTTACAACCCTCAGATCCTGATCACCTGTAAATCTGTAACGTTAGCTAACGGGACATTTCCCCGTTATCAGCATTGACGTGAATGATGAAGAATGCGACATTATTGTGAGCAATGTTAATAAAAACAGGCATTTATAAAAACAACTCAAATGATTTGCAGAATCATACGCGTGAACACCTCGACGTCAACCAATGTAAATCTTACACATAAATGTGAATTAAAATTACGGACATGCGCAGTACGGTCTTCTCGAAATGTATTATGGGAAAGTGTCGTCACCGGAAGTAGATGTAAACATGTGATTGTCAACCGGAGCGCTCGGTGCAGTTTTGCTTCTGTTAAAAACCAGTATGATTAATTGAAATAAATGTGCTTGAAGAAATATTTAAAGTATCAATTGATAATATTGTCAATGACGCAATCTTACGCTGTTGCGTTCTTCGAAAGGAACCCGCTCAGTTTTGCCAACATTTAGGATTTTGTGTTCTCACGAATACAGTAACGTTATGTGTATTTAACGCTGCGTTTATGACTATAATTCCTATATTGCTTCAAAACTGCAAGTGTTCATGGCATCCAGACAATCATTTACAGATTCTGACACTGCTGACGAAGCGGTCAGAGCAACTTGCGACGATGCGTCCATATGCAAAAGGTGATGCGCAATAAAATAATGAGAAAACACTGACCCGTATTTCTGAATGCATTGACATTTAGCCACATTTAGTTTCTGTGCTTTCACAGTACTGCCATATATGTAAAAAATATACTGCTACTGTCGTGGTTGTGCACAGTGTGGCAGCTATTATTAATATTATATATCAGATATTATGCATAAGTTTTAAGATTATTGATTATTCCAATAATTTTGACAAAATAAGGAGTGTACTTATACGATTCGATGATCATCTATAATAACATTTTAATTTATTGTGTTTGTTTGTAGGTTTGCTACTAGTAAAGGTTACTGGACTGACCTCTACGTCCAGTATTTTGTGAGGCAAATAGGTGAACGGAAAGCACCTGAGATCAACAGAGGTAAGATTGATCGTTTAAATATCTCCTCCTGCCGGTCAATGTGTGCAGTTGCGTTTAGTTAAGGGATAGTTCACCCAAACAACAACCATTTCCTCATCATCAGTGGTTCTAAACATTTATGATTTTTTTATTTACTTCTGTTGATCACAACACAAGATATTCTGAATAATGTTGGAGAAAAGCAGCCACTTTCATCCATAGTAGGTACAAAAAATATTATGGTGAAGTCAAGGGCTGTTTTTTATGTTTAACACATGCCCCTAGCCAGACTGGTGAATAGGGTGGTTCTCTTTTCTCAAAAAGCAGACCTTTTTTTGCTGATTTACTCCTCATTTTGCTATTCCATTATGAGAGTTAAATACTGCATTTTAGTGACATTTTAAGCACCATTTTTAGCTGGATTAGCTTGTTAGATGGCCACCATAACCAAACTTTGTATGTACCAAAAATATTTCCTAAATATTTAGTATAAAGAAATATGAATAAATGTTTATTTTTAAAATACAAATTTATTACATCATATATCGTTGGGAAAAAATAAGAATCTGTTTTATATGAAAAACTGTAGCCGATTGTCAGTTATTAGGCAAATAACAAACTGGCCAGCACATCCAAGTGTCCCCAGTCAGAATTTGGCCATTTTAATAATAATAAAAATAAAACATTATTATAATGTACAGCTTAACAATTTTATCCGCTTTAAAAAAAAAAATAAGTAAGTTTGAAACTTCTTGGAAAACAAAAATATTCAAAATAGTATTCCAATTAATTTGATATGGGCCACTTTTGATGCTTCACACCTTTTTATTGGTTATTTTTGTTTGCAAGAAAAAGCTCCGCAATTTAGAATAAAAGTTACATGTAAAATATTTTCTCTGTTTAAAAATAGTACAGTAGTGAAAGAAGACTTCTCTTACGTCAGATTTTAAAATAAAAATGATCGTTAGCATTGGCCGCTTGCTCTTAAAGCCTTTTTCGATGGGTTTTTTCACTCTTTAGAACAAAATACACAAAATAGGACAAATGAGGTAATGTATGAGACAAATTCTGGACCTTTGTCAGTGAGGAGTGGGTCTTCTTTCAAAATGTGTTTATTTTTGATGTAGGTTATTATGGACGTGTCAAAGGGATGAATCTCCTTCTTGACGACTTTCTCAAGAAGACACAATGTGACTGCCAGGTGGTTAATCTTGGGGCAGGACTGGATACTACTTTTTGGAGATTAAAGGTTGATCATTTTGCATTTAACTTTTTTTGAGATTTATTATTGTACTGTTGTATTTATTATTGTATTACTGTATAATCACATTACAGTAGCTTGTACTTTTCAAAATAAATGTCTTTTTTATGACTCAATATAACAATTTATTTATCTATCTATCTATCTATCTATCTATCTATCTATCTATCTATCTATCTATCTATCTATCTATCTATCTATCTATCTATCTATCTATCTATCTTATCTGTCTGTCTGTCTGTCTGTCTGTCTGTCTGTCTGTCTGTCTGTCTGTCTGTCTGTCTGTCTGTCTGTCTGTCTGTCTGTCTGTCTGTCTGTCTGTCTGTCTGTCTGTCTGTCTGTCTGTCTGTCTGCCTGTCTGTCTGTCTGTCTGTCTGTCTAATCTATCTATAGATAGATAGATAATATAATTAAAATATTAACAAAAATAAAAAAATCTATACATCATATTTATTAAAGTCATAGTTCATGCACAAAATCACATGTACTCTCTATTTGCTCACCCTCAAGTGGTTTCAAACTTGTATCAATTTCTATATTCTGTTGAACGCTAAAGAATATATTTTGAAGAAAGCTGGAAACCTGTAATCGTTGACTCTCATAGTATTTGTTTTTTCTACTGTGGAAGTCAATATTTACAGGTTTTCAACTGTTTCAAAATATATTATTGTGTTTTCAACAGACGAAAGAAACTCAGACAGGTTTAGAACAAGTGAAGGATGAGTAAATGATGACAGAATTTTCACTTTGTGGTGAACTATTCCTTAAAGTTAGCTAATAGCTAATAAATGTAATTATACATTCTAATGATTTTTTGTTCTATTTAATGTCTATTTTATTCTTACTGAAAAATGATAAGCAGTCAAAGAAAAATTATAAATGTATTTTTTTATTCATAGGATGAAAACATAATGCCAAAAAAGTTCTTTGAAGTTGACTTCCCAATGATCGTTGCCAGAAAAATACACAACATCAAGTAAGGTGTTTTTATTTTTATAATATTTGTGCACGACTTTAGAATAAGGTAACATTGGTTAACAATTTTTAGTTAACTAGGAATTAATGTGACAGCTTTTAAGAACTTCAGTTCATGTTAATTCACAGCATCATTGTTTGATTTTAAAAAGTGTTATTACTTGTTTAAATTAACAAACAATAGAATTCCTGAAAGCCAACATTAAGATTAGTAAATGCTGTAATAATGTTAGTGCATGCTCGCTAATAAATGTTAACAAATGAGACCTTATTGTAAAAGTGTTTCTGTTTATTTTATAATTATTTGTCAGTCATTTGCTTTTACTGTATTTGCTGATCATGTTCTTCAGTAATTATCCTCTAGATGGAGACAGTGCGTAAGATGAGTGGATTCATCAAGTTAGTCCACCCCTCAGTGTCTGGATTGTATAACTGATTTGTTTTGTATTGACTAAAGTTGATTGATGCATTAGCGCTCTTTATCATTTTAAAATGTCCTGCTTGAACGAATAGTTTAACATTTATGCATTTGCGATTAATGAGTGAGTGGGGTATGTTAAGTCTATGATGAATTTATATTTTGTATAATTACTATTTAACTACAGTCACTAAGAATTGCAGTTGGTACAGCCGTGCCACATATGCAGTATTGCATTTACATGTATCAGTTTAGCAAAGGTTTATATCTTTACATTAATACAGTGAGCTTTTGATCACTCTTAACTTTAACCCTTTAAAATAAAAAAAATAAAAAATCCTACTTCACCTCTAGACTCTAACTACCAAATAATTTCACTTATAACTATTCAAATCGTTCATGTCTGACTTTAATATTTTAAGCAGTTTCTTCCATCAAAATACATTACACTTTTATTAAAGCCCTGTTCCTGATTGCATAATTTATATACAGGTTAATGACAGAAATGTGCTGATTATTAACCTTGACATTTAGCAATGATTATTACATGACTGTCTGGAATACTTGATTCTGATTAGTTGGTTGCAACAATCCAAGTTGTGTTTGTTTCAGATAACAACCTCTGAATCTACTAACACGGGCTTATCCATGTATACCAAATCACCTTGTCTGTAGTTTTTGAGTACGTTCACTTACATTTACATAAATTCATATTTACAGTTAAAAGCAGAAAAATGCACATAACCATTTTTTTTAAAGTCTGATGTTAATGTGACTAAACTCTTTCTCTTTTAGGTAAGTTAGGATTATCAAATGTGTTTCTGTTATCCTTAATAGCAAAATAATGAGAAAGAGATTTTTTGAGAAATTGTTATAACTTTTCTTGAAAGTCAAGTTTACATACAATAAGATTATTATGCCTCTGAAAAAGCTCAGATGAGGGTGTCAAAGTTTTGGAAGTTTCTGATAGGCCAATTGACAACATTTGAGTTAATTGGAGGCACAACTGTAGAACAGTATTTAAGGAAAACCTCAAACACACTGCTTCCTTTTGTGACAACATGGGAAAATCAACAAGCCGGAATCAACAAAAAAAGCCAGATTACAATTTGCTAAATTACACTTGGGAAAAGACTTATTTTTGGACACAAGTCCTGTGGTCTGATGGAACTAAGATTGAACTGTTTGGCCATAATGACAAGTGTTACATTTAGAGGACAAAGGGGAATGATTATAAGCCTAGGAACATCATCCCAACTGTGAAGTATGGGGGCGACAACATCATGTTGTGGGGCTGTTTTGCTGCAGGAGGGACTGGTCCACTTCACAGCATAGATGGCATCATGAAGAAAGAACATTATGTAGAAATACTGAAGCAACATCTCAAGACATCAGGCAGAAAAATTAAAACATGGCCACAAATGGGCCTTCCAAGCTTGCCATGACCCTACTGCCAAATTAGTTAAAATGTGCTTTAAGGACAACAGAGTGAATGTTTTGGAGTGGCCATCACAAAGCCCTGATCTCAATCCTATAGAAAATTTGTGGCCAGAGTTGAAAAAGCTTGTGCAAGCAAGACACCCTACAAACCTGACTCAGTTACACCAATTCTGTCTTAAGGAATGGGCCGAAATTCCTTCAAACTATTGTGAGATGCTTGTGGAAGGATACTCAAAACATTTGACCAAAGTTATACCGTTTGAAAGCAAAGCTAAAAAATACCAAGGAATTATATGTACTGTAAACTTTTGACCGTTTAGAAATAAAAAAAAATCTCATTATTCTAGCATTTAACAAATGTAAATTATTTAGGTAATCCTAACGGACCTAAAATGGAAAACGTTTAGTTTGATTTACCATCAGACATTTAAAAAAAATGGTTATGTTCCTTTTTTAGATAGTATGTAAACTTCTGGTTTCAACTGTACATGCTGGTCTGTTATTCTGCTATTTTTGAGTGTTTGGCACACTTGTGACTGAATAATACTTAGGTTAGTGTATGCTCAGTTCAGCCATTTTTGTTGCTGTCAGCTTTGCCTTTATTTAAAGCATTAATAAACAATTACAGCTTAAAACAGCTTTCTGTTTTGATACAGCTTTTTGCATAAAAATTGTATTTTTTATGACAAGTAGCCGCAGAAGTAATCCATGGAATAAAGTATATCCAGCTGTTTTTTTTTTTTTTTTTTTACAGAATAAATCCCTTCAGTCTTATACAACAGCACTCTGCTTTGCATCAAGCTGCTGATAAGCCTTTCGGGCTGCGATAAGAACCACTTAGGTGTACTTTTTCCCTTACTTATCAACCTAATGTAGATTACTAAAATATGAATGAAAACTTTTTTTGTGTGGCTGCATCCAAAATCACATACTGTACTACACAAGTAGGTATTAAATTTGAAATTACTTTATGACGATTAGAAAAGAATGTTCTATAGTATGAATGGAAGTAGTATGAATTGAAATGAGATGTTAGAATTTCGCCAGAAGTGTATCATCCAGGTGGTACTTGCATACTTTTTTTAATACTATGTAAATTCAGACTTACAGTACTATTTGTTTTTCACATACTACAAGTATGTGCCAAAAAAATGTACTAAGGGAAAGTCCATTTATTTCAATAATTTCTTTCAAAAAGTGAAACTTGTATGTTATATTAGTTCACTACACACAACGTGAAATATTTCAAGCCCTTATTTGTTTTGATTTTAATGATTATGCTGGAATTAGAATATTTCGCGTAACCAATAAAAAAGGATCTTAAACGCATGTTGGCCTTCTGAAAAGTGTGTTAATATGCTGTAATTTGTCCTCGATACTTTGTTGGGACTCCTTTTGCACTAATTACAGCATCAAAGTGGCATGGCTTGGAGGCAATCAGCCTTTGACACAGTTGAGGTGTTATGGTAGTCCAAGTTGCTTCGAAATTGACCTTCAGCTCTTCTGCATTTCGGGTTCTCTGTTCCCTCAATTGCCCATAGATTTTCAATGGGGTTTAAATTGGGTGTGTTTGCCGGCCAATCAGGTAGTTATTCCACTGCTTTAAAACCAGGAACTGGTAGTTTTGGCTTTGTGGGCAGATGCCAAGTCCTGCTGGAAAACAAAATCATCGTCTCCAAAAAGCTTGCCGGCAACAGGAAGCATGAAGTGCTCTAAAACGTTCTGATATAAAGCTGCGTTGACTTTGGACTTGATAAAAGACAATGGTACCCACACTAGCCGATGACATTGCTCCCCAAACCACTTACTGTGGAAACTTCACACAGGACTTTTAATGATATGACGCTTTTGCCTCTCTACTCTTCCTGTAGACTCTGGGATCTTGATTTCCATACGAAATAAAAAATTTGCTTTTATCTGAAGAGAGGACTTGGGACCACTGGTCAATGGACCAGTACTTTTTACTCCTTAGCTCAGCATAGATGCTTCTGGTGTTGTTTTTTGTTCAGGAGTGGCTTGACGAATGAAATTCTACAGCAGTAGCCCATGTCATGCAGACTTCTGTATGTGATGGTTCTTGATGCTCTGACACCAGCCTCAGATCACTCCTTCTTGACAATCTTCTCAAGGCTTTGGTCATCTCTTTCACTTGTGCACCTTTTCTGGACACCCTTTCTTTTAACACTGTTAATATACTTTGATACTGCACTCTGTGAGCATCCAGCTTCTTTTGCAATTGCCTTTTAAGACTTTTCCTCCTTATGGAGGGTGTCAATGACGGTCTTCTGCAAAACCATTAAATTCTTTCCCATGATTCTGAAGCCTACTGAGCAAGACCATTTCAAGGCTGAGGAAACCTTTGCAGGTGTTAGTAAGCTGACTAGATTGAGACACTCTGGGAGCCTACAATATTTAAATTTTTCATGATATTCTAATTTATAATTAGAATGATAATTACTGGATTTTTAAAAATCCACATTCATTAAAATTTAAACAAATAAGAGTTTAAAATATTTCACTTTGTGTCTAGTGAACTGGTATAACATTTTTGACACATACTGTACCTGCATATATGAAGTTTCAGATACCCCACAAAATGTCTTCATTTTAGCATGGCTTCATCAACTTAAAAAATTGTGTTATGATCACACAGAAGCTCAGAAATGTATGTTTAATATGCATCAGTGCTTTTCTTATCTGTGAATTTACGAAAGTGCAGTAGTTAGTCACTGAGGTCAAGTGTAAACAAATCTGTTGCGTTTATAAGCTTAACAGAAATATTTGTGATTGATTATAGAGCCCAATGCTGCTGATTGCCAAAGATGTGTATTGCAACAGTCTGCGATGTTCAGATAAAGCAAAATCAATGGTTTGAAGAACTTTTCAGAGGAATTGTATGATAAAAGACAGAACCAGATGCCATTTACGCACTGAAGTGCCATTGCCCTTGCTTCATTTTTTTGATTTTTGCTTTATTTTTGTCTATATATGTTACTGCTGATCTCCTGCATTTCTGTACCAGCCGTCTCTGTTCTCTCAGTGATTTATACTATGCACAGTTTAGCACTCAGTTTTGAACTGTCAAAATTGTTTTAGCTAAGCTGGTTTGGAGAAAATGTTTAAATCTGCAGGATAAATTTTTT